GTTGTCATGGAAGTCTGCCATTATGGTGAGAGGAAGTGAGTTACTCAGCAAGTTACACACCGAGTGCCAAAAAGCAGATCTGGGAAGTAAAAGTGGGCTTTTACCCGAAATGGAGCATTTTAGTTTACAATACGGCTCCGCTGAGGAGGCCAGACGGGTATTTGTGTGCTTTAATGTGTGTGTTCAACTTTCAATTTCTTTTTTATCAATCTGTCAGTTGCTGTTAGGTGTGCATAAATATCTGCTTCCCTCTGTATGTGTGTGTTTTAATTTCTGTGTCTTTCTACATTTGCTTCCATGTATTTGGATTTATGCTTGACTGTGCATGTCTTTCATCATGTTTGTGTGTGTTTCTGTCTGTATCTCTGCATATTTATATGCTCAAGTTTGTGTCATTTGTTTTGTTTGACTGGGTGTGTGTGTGTATTCATGTTTATGTGCGCGTGTGGGGTCTGGTCCTCTGTATGTCGTCACTGTTATACGGCGGTTTATTTTCTCATCCATGACAGCGCTCAGGCAGCTGTGTCACTCACCATGGGGATTCCAGTTTATGTGTGTTTGAGAAAAGACTGAGGCAGAAACACGTAGACTCGAGACACGGATTAAAGTTTCATATGTGTTCGTAATTAAGATGAACACCATGTGGTGGGAATTCATTTAAACATTGTTTTCACACTCAAAGAAAAACAGTAAAGAAAGTTTTTCTCAATTGGCCAGAAAAAAATCAATGTTACAGAACGATTTCAAAATATTCTTGGTGATTTTGAAATGTACTTGACAACCTCCCAGAGTACAATCTCTATCATGATTGTACTTCAATTGGTTGCAGTACTAGAATATTGCAAGATGAATTTCTTTGTGTTTTTCTTTGGATGAAAGCATGAAATTTATTTCAGAACATAAACTGCTTAAATACAGAGAGATTCATTCATTGTTTGACAGTAAAAGAGCCAATACAGCTGATGTAAAATTAGCCTAATTCCCATCGTATTTCTTGCTACATTCGTAAGTTTGGTGTAAAATTTGTGTAACAGGCGGCAACTCAAGACTGAGACAGAGTGAGGTGGCATGAGAGCGAAAGAGCATGTGTCTGTCTGCCCCTAACTGAGATGAAACACCTACAAGGTCAGAGATCATCCCACCCAGAGTCCAGTCAGGGGGCTCGCAGCCTTGGTCCCCTCGAGAGGTCAGACAAACAGATAGGTGTGTGTTCTCCACCAGTTAACGATTGGTTAAATAAATGGACAGGCTCCCTGTGGTGTAGTCCATTCACACATACACTCTGACTATAGTTGTAAGGTTGCAGTTGTGGTCGGAGTGATGAAGGGACACATGCACAGAAATACACACACACAAGCAGGAGGACAACTGGTGTCTTGACATCAGTCAGGGCAGTGGAGTTTAAACACACATACAGCTGATACAACCTGGGAGTTTCATGCACACCTGGGTATGCACAGATATAAACACACATATCACATACATATATCATATCACCTTTAGAAACTAGTCAACAACAGAAGGTACGTTCTCACTCTCAACTTTTCAAATACCAACACTTTGCAGTGGCCTGTAACGTCAAAATATCATGTGCAGGTACCCCTCCGGTATTAGTTTTGGACATTCAGAGACGATGGCATCGTCTTTTTTCAAAATAAACTTCAGAGTTGACAAGAAATGTAAAGTTTCCTTCATCAAATGCATAAAGTCTTTTCATAATTTACTTAGAATGTAGGTAAAAAAGTCTTCGAGCTACAAAAAAATCATGGTTAGGTTTAGAAAAAACATTGTGGTTTGGCTTAAAAGAAGTACGCTTATGACTAACATGATATAAGGTCAGGTGACATCACTAGCATAGCATGCTAAACATATTAGCACACTACATCACTATTAAAACAACTTGACGAACGTTTGGACACACCTGACTCCCACCAGCTGAACGTTCAGCCCAATGTGAACTGTCTTGGTCTTTATACTGCCTGGAGCGTAGTCCCCAGGTCGTCTCATACTGCTGCTTAAGGGTGCCTCTGTGCATCGGTGTCTGATGCTGACAGACCACTGACCAAGTGTCCATATTTGATGAGTTGGGAGTGAGACCACATTGCAGAAGGTTTAACGTGCTCATGACGAACACTCTCAACTTTTCCCTCTGTACCTACAGACAATTGTAACTGAAATGCTCTGCTAACCTCAGGTAAAAGCGTTAAACCATCTCTACATTATACCTGAACTGCAAAAACTCTGGCTTGTTTTTGCTTGGCTTGTTGAATCACTGCTACACAGTACACATACACATTTGGTTCATGTGGTTTGATTGGGTGCCAGCAAGTGATGAGCTTGAGTGCTTTGCTACAAAGTGCCTGGACAGCATCTCCTGTGTTCCCAGCAGGTCTGTGGATACATACAGGTGTTCCACTGTTCATAGCATGGCTGCTCGGTCCTTCAGCCCAGTACCACCCTACAAGGATTCCACTGACTTATTTTTCTATCTCTAGTTTTTGTTTTCTTTGTTCTTGACCATGCAAACTGCTGTATATTGTCACTGGGCTTAAAGTTATTTAGCATGAACCAAGGAAGACGTGCGCTGTTTCTTTTCCCTTTCCATGATGTGCAATAAATCTCGTAGTCCAAGAATTACACTGAGGATGACAGATTGAGAGGAAGGCAGAAAATGGCAGCAAGGAGAGCACACACACTGCGGGAGCAACTAAATCCACAAGGAAAAAAAATGCTGCAATGCACCTTCTGTACTTTATGTCCACCACACATACACACACACACACTTAAAACGTTGGCACTCTTCTACCCCCAATGTCTCATTTCCCTTTCTCAGCTCTTTGCCAACATCCAGCTTTCCTCCCTCCTTATGCCCAGTTTGACCCCCTCCTGCTGGGCCATGCAGGGCTGCACACTGGGCTGCGATCTGGAAGATCGCCGTGAAACAGCAAGTTACGAGTCTGCTGCAATGGCTCCATTCATTGATTCTTGTCTTTCAAATGGCTCAAAGTGTGAGACTCTGCAGAGGGTCCCACTGAGCAAAGTGGCTGTGTAGAGAGCCAGCCTGTGCAGTTGAAAAGATGTATAGAAGTCCTGATGCTGCGGCTGAGTAGCCCTACAGAAAGACTCATGGCAGAGCTGCCTGCTGTGGCTTAACCTTGAGCCCCGGGGATCCGAGCTAAGGGCAGGGCCAGTCTGAGCTGTGTTTAGGCACCAAACATATTTGTTCCATTACTCTGGTTTCCTCTGCAGGTTTGCTTAGAGGCCACCTAGAGATTCCTTATCATCTCATGTGTACAGTTCTTCCTATGTATTATGATACAGTGGCATTCTGTCTCCATACTGCAGTAATAATGCAGACATTTCTGTATGGCTTATTCAAACTGTGAACTCGTTAGACAACCAGAGATTGTATCAACTTTGGATAAGTTCTACTTTAGTCAGCATTCATATACTTTACCAACTTGACTGGTGTTACAGCAACACTTCAAACATCATTGAGCAATATATTTGATTTAGACATAAAACTAAATGTAATCATAAAAACGTAACCACAAGTGTCTGTGGTGGTGGTCCAGTTCTGAAGTGCAGGTTTTGCAGAAAGCTCTTGTCTCTCTTTCACATAAAACTTGTCTCTGTGTAAAGTAAAATGATTTCTTGCAATGCTGAACCCAAACTTAGTTTTTAGCCCTTTGTTTGGATTTTGCGGTCTGCACATTTTTCTGTGGAGTCCATTCTCCTAGCTTTCACCAGTACCCATTAAACCATAAATCCATGTAGGCAGCCGTTTCCCGCAAACACAAGTTAACTGTACAATTTACATATCCAAAACCAAAAGGCGCACAGTTCATTTAAACAAGTATGAGTATTACTTGTATAAAGAGACATGCTCTGATGCTCAAGATGCCTGTTTAACAGCATGCAAGAATTAAAGCACCCGCCATACCAACACGACACCTCTCTTTACACTCTAAAAAACAATATTCACAACTTGGATTAATTTTAATGAAAAACTGTTATGACTGTTTTATTCAGTGAACCCTTATGGACTAAAGGAATGTAAATAACCAAAGAATGGACATGTTCGGACTTTATGACTGCTTCAGAGGAAGGGAGTCGCCACTTTTTTTTAGTCTCTCTTGTTTACTGTGCTGGTAAATCTAAAGAAATTATTCTTTGGTGCTCAAGGTCTCAGTATGAACTGAATAATTGAATTGTGGAGAATCTAACTAAGCTAACAATGTGTAGCATGTCCATATTGACAAAAGTTAAAATATCTATATTTGTATGGGTGATCTATGCAGCTAACTGATGTTAGCCTAAGTGGGTAGCCAACAACACAACAGGCTTTGAGAGGTTTCATACATTCAAAGAAACTGCTTCAATGGCAACCAAACCTGGTCTCTGAGTGGCACCAGCATTTATTTTTCAAAATGTGTAGCCACAATAGGCTAGTTAAAAGGAACACAGCATTTAGTTTTACGATACTTTCATCACATAGACGGAAACATCATCACACTGTCAGTTGAGATTTACATACACAGTTGCCAAAGGCAGTTTGTGGCTGACAATATAGAGCAATAAAACTGGAAATAGTTCATGCTATGGAGTGACTCAGCAGTAAAAACTACCGTACAGTCAGTTGACAGCAAAGTAAATTGCATAGTCCAATTGAAAGTCTTTCTAATGGCTACTCAGTGCATAAAAAGTGAACATAATTTACATTTTCCAAACATTTCCTTTAGGTAATGGAGACAGACTGCAGCGCTACTTCAGCATGCACACAGTAAAATTTAGGTCCTACACAGCTGTGATAGCTGTATATCAGAGCTTTCCTCAAAAACACCAACTCACTGTTATGTGTGTGTTTGTGTATGACTGATGTGCTGTGACATTTCCCCTCCCACGGTACTTTGTAAGCAACCCAGTTCTCTCCAGCAGCAGGCCCCCCACACACACATGCCCAATACACACACACAGTGCCTATCTTCACCCCAGCTTACCTCGCCTCTGTGTCCCACGTAGATGAAGGCACACATGGGCTGGAAGGCACCAGTGCCACAGGCCAGCAGGTGGGTGCGGTTGTAAGGCTGCAGGAGGCGAACAAAGTTTGCACACTCCGTCTGTAAAACACAGATACATAAACACAGATTAAGACTCTGTATCTCAACGAAATATGGGTGAAGGCATAATGTAATATGTATGTATAAAATGTTTTGCAATGTCCATTTGAACACAAAGTTCACTCGAAGAGAGCCAAGGTAAACTTATGGCGTCCTGGCACTGTTTTGTGAATAAAGTGCTTTTAGTTCTCATTTTGGGTCCTGACCCTGCAGAGAAAGAACCGTGTATAACTTTACATTTACTTAAAACATTTTCATGGTAACGCAGGTAAAGGATGTAAACATTCACTCTTGCACGCATGTTACGCACGCACACACACACACACACACACACACACACACACACACACACTAGAGAAGGGCCTTTAAATAAATCAAATCACACAGTGCAATGGTAACTGCTATCCAAATGCAGATAAGTTGATTTCCAGGGTATTGAAGAGAATCACAATGATTTCTTAACCACGCTTATTGATCCCACATGTTTGTAATGAAGGCCAAGAAAAGAGCTTTATTAGATGAAATGTGATATCCTCAGTGTCTCGCACAGGACTCGCATCTCTGATTTTTGGATTTCAGCCAAGGTGACATGCCGTTGTTGTAGAACAAGTTTCATCACATTCGGGTCAAAGGAACTTTATAGAGATTTGTGAAGCATCACAAATGCCTGGGTGCCAAAATGAAAATGTGAGGGATGATTTGATGTGAAATGTGAGTTTCAAGTCATAAGGGATATGAAGACAGCAGCAATAACTCTGAATTTCACTTTCCTAACTTTGATAAACTTCGTCATGTACTCAGCTGCTGTGAATGCGGAGCTAAAACTGGAGACAAAAGGCCCTGAAATGGAAACAAAGATATTCAAATGGCTAATGTCAAAAGGCCAGACGCTCAAATACACATCACAGTGAGAACAAAAGAAGTGGTAACTGAGGAAACAAGTATCGAGACGTTTCTGTACTACACAGAGGTCCAGAGGAAGCAAAGGGCATGACTACTTCCTTCTTCCTGTCTGTAACAGCAGCGACTGACAAAATAGGTGTAAGGAAAGGATCAGCCGGGTGTCACTCTCTCAAGTTGACAAGGTCAAACTCATATCTGCACAGTGAGAATCTGGTGTGTCTCTGTTCAGAATGTGTAAAGGCATAGTGTTTGTTTATGTTTACATATTAAATAAGACGAGTTTAATGCAATCCAAGTGTAACGGTGCATGGATCTTTGCCTTTGAAGCATCCATGTTGCTGTGTTTTTTTCCTGATTTCGACGTTTGAACTTGTGCATGTGTGCTAGTCTCTGTGTTTTTACATGTGCTGTGTGTGAATGAGTCTAGTAAATCTGTCATGTTGTGTGTGGCCCACGTCCCTCTCAAACTCGCAGTCAGACGCTCAAACATTTCCTCGAGTGCTTTGCGGTGCTGCAGACCTGATGTAAACCATGTCACTGCAGTTTACATCATCATATTGCCCCTTCCCACTGGCTCATTTCTCTACCCAAACAAAACCAGAGCAGTAATAAACTAAACAGAAACACATTTGTATTAAGAATGCTTTCAGTAAATCTGAATTTGCTGCTAAGTATTAAGTATCTTTACAAAAAAGGAGCATCTGGGTTTCACATATGTTTCTGTTAAGGACGAGGGAATATCATAAAGCAAATTTGACATGTTCCCTCTAATTATTTATTCCAAATTAGTATTGTATGGTTTTATTCATGATTAACCAGTGTAAATTATATCTCCAGTTGACCTAAATCATCTGCTGGAGGGGAAAAAAAGGCTGGTCTTTACATTAAGTCTATATCGTTACAGAAAATATACGAGTTCTAGAACAGCATACCAAGTGGACTGAAAATGAAGAGAGTAATGTCTCTCCTATGTTTCCATTCTACTACTAAGGGAGTCATCTTGGAGATCTGTGTGGCCAGGAGAGCAAAGAGAGGAATGAAATGTTGAAAAGAGGAAATATGTCTGCGCTCTCCCGCCCTGGGATTTGGGGTTTTTACATACAGTATCTGTGTGGTCTTACTGAGATTAAGTGGCAATAAAGGGAGTGGTGTTAAACAGAAAATGAAGTGGTTTGAGTACTAACTCTGGTTTAGTCTCACTGGGAGATTTCAGGGAGAAGTCTTCACATGTAGCCAGAATTCAAAATGGTGATATTTAATCACTTCACAAATATCCAAGGTCAGGTTATTTTTTGGAAACAAAAGCTCACAATGTTCAATTATTAACCTTTGATTATCAAGGGAGGGTTGGCTGACCACAAATTCTCGTTCCCAGCAATACCAAGCTCCTGCTTCACACTATCCAAACTTTTAAACTGACCACAGAAAAAATAGTTTTGTGTCTTAGAGGTTGAGAAAAAGGTAAGTATTGAGTTTCAAACATCAAATTATTACTACAATTGCTCTGAGACATATGTATCATTAACATAAACAAACAAGAACATTGCCAAGACCTCCGGCAGCCTCTCTCAGCCTTCACAGCAAGACTCATTTCCCATGGAGCATGGTGATATGGGGGCGTACAACAGCAGGACACCATGCTTCCACTGGAGCCAATGATTCAAAGGTTCAATAGCAGATATGTAGCAGTTCTTCATTTTTGGTACTTGCTGCCATTTCCCAATTAATTTGAGCTGAATGTCACAATTCCCCTGAGCTGATTGGAGGGTTATAGTCAGATCACCTGTTGCACATGTATGTGGGGACTGACTCCTATGTAAGAACTGAGAGTGGCTTGGTGCCTATCTGCTCTGGGCAAATCAGAGTGTGACAACACCTTTTCTCAGGGTTTAAGAGGCATTTTGATCCAACCTCAACCTCCTACTAGGTTACCGGCATCAGGGCAGTTCTTTGTGTCTTTCATGCAAGAATTTTACTTGCCCAATGATGATTTATCATTTTATTTTATTTTGTTATTTTCATTGAAACACAATATAAACCCTAATCCCACTTTGTTTATCGATGATGCATTTGTTTATCATTATTAAGGAGGCTTCTTTTTTATTGTGAAGGCTCCCCTTAGATCTGATTCTCCAAGTGAATATTTTTTGCATTCTGTGGTTAGGAGGTGGTTCCCTGGCTTCTTCCTGAGCAGTTGAAATCTGGAGAATTAGTGTCGCCACAGACGAAGGCTTCAAACAACAGCAGCAAAATCACTTCCCACATGTCCAACAATGATCAAACCACTGTACAAATGGTTGAGAAACCATATCTAGTCCAATGGATTAATTAAAAGTTGAATTGACATCTGACTACAGACTCTTCCAACATTTGTCTTTCAAGTACACTGAAAAAGAGAAACTTGGGCTGAAGAAGCAGAGGAGGTGACTCCAGAGAGCGGGAGTGGAGACAAATGTCTTCTTCGTGACATAAAGAAACAGTGTTTGAATGCGGCATTTATTTTTGAGAAATATGAGCAGCGACACACTGCCACAGGCTGCAAATCATTTTAATCATGGTCTGATTTGTTTACGGTAAGTATTACACAGCATCACAATTTGGCAATGACACATTCATTCTTAAATATGCTACATGTAGATGCAGTCAAGAAATTTGTTCAAGGACCAGGAAAATGTTTCTCATACTATTTCTTTTCCAAGTTTGTCCTTGGCGGGCTGACAAATCTGAACTCTCAACCTCTTTTGCACATTGTCGAATGCATGTTGGTTCAAGGGATTTAAAGGTGTTTGCCAAAAGAGGGCATTGACGAATGGCAGTGAGCCCTAACAGGACTTAAAGGGAGAAATGGCATTGCTGCTGATGTGCCATGTAAGAAACAATTAACTAACCAGCACCAACCAGTCTTATCTGCTCCTCTTACATTTTGCTTAAGACCAATTCTGGTCTGCATGCCACAAGTCAACATTAACAGCTAACTGGTGTTGTCACTGTTGTTGTTTTTGGGCAAACAGAGTATGTTTTAAACAGTAAAGAGGAAAGAAGGACGTTTGGGCCAACACTGAGCTGCTGCTTGGGTAATTTTACTTAATTCGTGGTCATAGCCATTTTATTACCAAAGTCCATGGAGTACTGTGGTAGAACTAAGGTGGAGCTATAGCAAAGAAAGCTCTCGCAGCCAAACATGTTCTATGATGAGTGACCCGGGCAGGGAGAGGCAAGTTTGGACATGGAGAACAGTTTCCAGTATAAACAGCCAATGTTCAGTGGAGAGAAGTGAGATTCTGTAATACTAACAGGAAATGAGGACCAACAAGTTCACCCCCTCACACACACACACACACACATAAATATGCACATGTACAAAGGTGCAGTCAAAAGGACACCATACACAAACACAAACACACACAAATATCATAAAAACAAGTTCAAAGCCCGACAGATGGATGAGCCGGCTCCTCCAAGTCTTTGGTCTCAGCGACTGTTTGATCCTCAAAGAAGTCCTTTTTCTAAGAACTCTCAATTGACTTCCAGACAGCACTGAAAACATTCAGTCATGGCAAGAAACTCTTGCCAAAGTGTGTGAGATGATTTTTCCAAGCATCTCCAAGCTTCTCCCATCATGTAAGCAATCAAATATTCATTTTAGGATAAAAAAAAAACCCACAGTCACCTACTTGGCTTGCTGGCAGACGTTAAGAGCTGCAACCAACAACATTTTGGCAGCAAAACAAGCATGGCGACAGACCACACTTTGTCTGTGTGTGTGTGTGTGTGTGTCTGGCCTGTGCAGCATCTTTCTCTCATTAATATTTAACAAAAAATATTTAAGAGCCATTTAAAAAGGAACTGCTGTGTCGTCCCAAATCTGGAGCCCACATGTATAACTGTATTATACCAGTGAAAATAATGAATTTATTTTTGTTTTTTAACTTAAAAACAAACATAATCTACAAATGCACAAGTCAATATGGAGAATGACACTGCATACAATAAACTGGACGTGCTTCTCTCTACCAACTAGGACTAAATACTTCATTTAGGAAGTTTAAATTGTAGTGCTGCTGTGTTGTTTACTGGTGTTGGAAAGATGTACTGAT